ATGATAATATATGGTGATAATGATAGTTATAATAATGATAACTAATGAGTAATTTGTTGTATTTCTATAGATGTTGATGCAAAAGTTCCGTAAGCACTTTGGTTGCGAACTCCCCTTTACTTATTAATGTAAGATCCGAGTGATTTTGAAATCTCTCTCTCTCTCTTTATTTATTTGCTTATCTTCCTTTTCTTCTTCCATGCCCTCCCTTCGCATCCCCATCGCCCCAGCCTGTTACATGAGCACTCCATTCTGCCGAAAGAGATCGTCGCGGCGATGCCACACGAGCGTTAATTCTCCTCTAAAAAAAAGGAAAAGATTAGAGGGTTTGTTGCGAAGATGGCAATACGCGCTGCATTGTAGCCTACTGGCGAGGTTGCAAATAGCTGGCTTATGAGAGTTGAAGTTATTCGTTTTTCTTTTCTTTTGTTCTTTCTTCTTTGTTTGCCGTTCCTTCTTCTTCGCTTCATATTTTTCGTTTGCTATTTCGGTTTCTACTTTTTTCGTCTTCGTGTCTTTGGTCTTCTAATTTTTGTCATTTTTTTTTTTATTGTCAGTTTTCTTCATCTTTTACGCCTTCTTATTATTATCTCCGCCAAGAAGGTTCTTGGTAGTGTTAATTAGTTTGTTTGTGCGTTCATTAACAGGATAACTCAAAAAGTTATGAAACAGATATTTATGAATTTCTTAGCTTAATTTAGATACCTTTCAAGTTTGTTGGCGATCCGGATCCAGGATTTTTTAACGGTTGCTTTATTATATTTACGGACTTCACCTGTGTTCTTGAGAAGAGGTCATTTTAATATAATTCTTCGTCTGAACATTTCTTTAGCATCAGTGACTCTATTGCCTTGGCGGAGGTATGCGCTCTCTGAGTGCTTCTAGTTATTGTTAGTTTCTTCCTCTTTTCTATTTTCTATTTGTTCCTCCTCACCTTCTTCTTCTACCTATTTTTTTCTCCCTCTGTTTTCTTTGTCCCTTTACTTCTCCCTTTCCTTTACATCAGCATCATCTTTTTTTCTCTTTTTTTAAATCTTTATTGTTGTCCACCTCCTCTTTCCTTTTCTTGTCTTTTTTCTTTTTATCTTTTCTACTTCGTCTCCTTATCCCAGTTCTTTTTGTCTTCTCCTATTTTTAATCTTCTTTTTCTTCGTCTTCTCTTTCTCGTTCGTCTCCTTTTCTTCTTTTCTCTTCGTTATCGTCCTCGTTTTCTCATTTTTCGTCTTGCCCATCTGCTTTTTATTTATTTCTTCTTTTCCTCCTTCTTCTTCTTCGCCTTCGCGTGCTATTTCTCCACCGTCATCCCTCCCTTCATTTTCGAACGGAGGAGGAGGAAGAGGGGGAATGGGAGGGGGGGAGGGGAGGGGGAGGCATGCAAGAGCGTCATCACCGAAAGTGCGGAATTTTGAGGCAGTCAAGGGTGAGTGATGGATCCCCCCCCCTTCGCTCCCCCTCGAAGTGGCTGAATTTGCTTGAAGTCTCGTCCTTTGCTTGAGTGATAATGGGTCTTGCTTTGTTTGCGAGAGGATGTTCATTTCTGTGTTTATGGTTGTGTGTCTATCGTGTCTGTCTGTCGGTTGGTCTGTCTGTCTGTATGTGGATGTGTGTTGGTCGGGTGAGTGGGGTGGGATGGAGTATTTTGTGTGTGTGTGTGTGAGAGAGAGATACATACATACATACATATACATACATACATACATACATACATACATACATATATACATACATACATACATACATACAAACAGACAGATAGATATATAGATAGAGACAGAGAGAGAGTAACTACACGATAATTAAATATTTTTGTGAACATGAAAAAATAATAGGAAATGTCTGAGTAGGGGGAGCGAGGGAGCTAGGGGGGAAGTGTGAGAGAAAGGCAAGAGAGAAGCGAGAGGCAGACACGGCGAGGCTTCCCTAGGGGCCCACAACGCGAAGAGATAAAACTCGTGAAGTCACCCTACACCCATCCTTGGCCTTCCCTCCCTCCTCCTCTTCTTTTGTCTTCCTTCTTATTCTTCTCCTCCTCCTCCACCTCCTCCTCCTCCTCCTCCATTACTACCTCCTCAGTCACTTCCTTCTCCTCCTTCATCTCCTCCTCCTCCTACCACCTCCTCCATTACTTCCTTCTTCTT